AGAAGGCGCCCAAGAGAAGCCAAAGAAGGTACGGGAGGCCCCCAAAAAAGGCCACGGGAGGCCACCGTGAGGGCCTGCGTAGCCCCTGCAATGCTCCTTAGAGGACCCAAACTCCCGAACACGGCCCAAGATGGCCTCAGGACGGCTCAACAGGGCGCCAAGCCGGCCCGCCTGGGCTCCAACAAGGCATTGTCCCTGAAACTTACCCGAATCCCGGGTTCGCAACCACATGTCCCGACAATCTGTTGCGAACCCCAAATTCGGTCCATTCCTTACGAATTAGTCACGTTCGCGTACCCCGTTGCGACCCGCTGCAACATGACATCCTCGGCTTGGCATTGCTTTGTACTTTGCAACATTGCTTGACATTGCGTCGGTTGCTTGGCATTCCCTCCCCCTGCTCCTCTGGGCACTTATCCTCCTCCTCCTCCTCCTCCTCCTCATCTTTCTGTCGCTCCACCACTCGTCCTCCACCATATCCACTTCCTTCCCTCGCTCCCCGACATTCCCCCCCTTCTATCCTTCGCCCTCCACCCAGCGCCTTTCGGGGACCCCTGGAGGCCTGGGAAGGGTCAGGGACCGCCCGAACTTTTGAAGACGTATGCAAACCACCGCAGGGAAGGGGTCAAGTTTCCACGGCCACTAGGGATGGCGCGAACGACCAACATATGCAAAACGTCAAGGACCAAGGCACATGGCGCGAAGCGCCAATGCAGTCTTGTGTGTCTATGCATATATATATATATATATATATATATATCTCTCTTCTGCGGGTCCTGTGATCGCTAAGCCGACAGCGCTCCAATGAAAGTGTTCGAGGACTGTGAGCCAGTCGTGTTCGGCCATACCTCGAAGACCATGGCCCAATACACTGCCATCATTCGTGTTAGGAAGCGCATGCCTCCCCGTTTTGGAGTCAGGAGTGGGGAGGGAGGCCAAACCCAGGAGAGAAGCGTAGTCGCAGTCTTGGTCCGCTGATGTTTCCCCGCTTCGTCGGCGGACTTTACGCAGCAATTTGCCTCGTCACTCTCACGCGAGGAGGTGTGAGAGTTCTTGTGAATTTCACATGTTCGATCTTACAATATGGCAACGGTCCACAGCAAAACACTCCTCCTATCTCCTCCTCCTCCTCCTGCTGCTGCTGCTGCTACTCCTCCTCCTCCTCCTCCGACTCCTCCTCCTCCTCCCACCTCTCCCCTCCATTCCTCCGCCACCTCCTCATCTCCTCCGCGTTCCCCTCAACAGATCCGCCCCCTGCCGCGGGCGTGTCGAATGGTCTGGGTGGCGGGAGCCACTGCGCGGCGACTGCCGAGCGCACGGCGCGGCGGCGGGCCTGCTGTGCAAGCGCCTGGCTCTCTCGAGCCGGAGCGCCGGGGCGAATGCGGGGCGGGGCGGGGGGAGAGGGATGGCGTTTGACTTTCGCTCTGGGGTGAACCTGCTGGCCATCGCTCGGACGTCCATTTCCTGTGTTTTGTTTCGGTTTCGTGCGTGGCTTTTTCGCGAAGTGATCAAGGATGCTCCTCGATGGTCCTCGCCGAAGGAAAAATGCACACGTCCGAGCGATGCCAAGACCTGCGCCGTGCCAGCCTCGTCGGCGCTGCCAATGCCGACGCGGCGCCACCGCGCGGGGGAAGGGGAGGGGAGCAGGCGGAGCAGGGGCAGGGGGGGGGGGGGGGGGCAGCGGAGGAGGCCAGAGGAGAGTGCTGGGCGGGGAGGCGGGCTGGGGGACAGGCTGACGGGGGGTGGAGGAACAGAGGGGAGGAGGGAAGGAGGAGGGAGGGAGGGAGGGAGGGAGGAGGAGGGAGGGAGGGAGGGAGGAGAGAAGGAAGAGAGGAGGAGGGGGAGGGGGGGGAGGAGGAGGAGGAGGAGGAGGAGGGAGGGAGGAGGAGGAGGAGGAGGAGGAGGAGGAGGAGGAGGAGAGGAGGAGGAGAGGGGGAGGAGGAGAAGGAGGAGGAGGAGGAGGAGGGGAGGAGGGGGAGGAGGAGGAGGAGGAGGAGGAGGGGAGGGAGGAGGAGGAGGAGGAGGAGGAGGAGGGAGGAGGAGGAGGAGGAGGAGGAGCTGCAGCTATGGGTGGAAAATGAAGAGGGAGGGCAGGGAGGGAGGTGGAGGCGCCCCCGCGCCCCGCCCGCGCGTGGCCGAATGCGGACCAAGCGGTCGCCCACGGATTTGCCACCGTACCGTGCAGTCAGCCCGCATACAAAGGACGCACGATGATGATGCAAGGGCGGCATCGACACTTTGCGGGCACGATAAGGAGGCAGGAAAGGGACGCACGAGAAGGATACCAAAGACGCAAAACCTTGGAAAGCCACGCCGACACTGTGCGGGCGGAGCGCGGCCAGCGAAAGCGGCCAAGGATGGGCCGAAGGGGCAAGGACGCAAGGATAACCTCGGACAGTCGCTGATCCTTACTATGCGGCGGGTTGACTGTAGGCATTGAGTGGAGTGTCCCCGTGTCCCATGTAGCACCGAGACTGCCCAATCGGCCCCCAAAACAATCCCAAGAGGGCCTCACCGACCTCCAAGACAGTTCTACGGCGTCCATAGGGGAACCCAAGACGGCCCAGAGAGGGCCCCCAGACGCCCAAAGGAAGCTCTAAGAGGACTTCCAGGCGGCCAAGTCATTGATTGCCCTTGCGTTTTCGTTAGTTTTCGCGTTCTCACCTTTTTGGGCTTCCGACCGACCGCCGAAGACGGTTCCGGTGGCCTCAAGGATAGCCCCAACACAGGCTCGGCAGCCCCAACGAGGGCCCCAAGACGAGCCAAGATGGTCCCAATACGGCCCCGCAGACCTCCAAGGCGGCCCTAAAGAGTACATGTAGGGCCCCAAGACAGCCAAGAGGGACCTCCCGTATAGACCCAACGAAGCCCCTCAGAAGCCACCAAGGGCCCCCCTCGGAAGCCCCCAGGAGGCTCCAAGATGAACCTAGAAGGTCTGCTCTTCCTGTTTCCAAGTGGGTGGCTGCTCGAGGGACGAGCGGACGCCTACACCATATCCATCGCTTCAGTCGCCAGCCGCGACTGCTGCATCACACAAACTCATGCATATAACATGTTATAGCGCGAACTGCTTTGAAGTCCCCATCGCTTCAGTCGCCAACCGCGACTGCTGCATCACGTGAACTCATGAATACTAACATATACTAGCGCGAACTGTTTTGAGGTCCCCAAACCATCTACCAAAAGAGGCTGCTCGGCACCTGCCATGCAACTCCACGACGTGCAAATCAACGAGGGTAGGCCGTGGTGGGACTCTGGGTCATTCCCCTCCTCCTTTTCCTCTTCTTTTCTTCCCCTCTTTTCCTTTTCCCTTCTCGTTTCTTCCATTCCTCTGGGGATCCTAGTTCTGCCGTGGTTCAATCCCCCGCTGGGGTCGCAGGTGGGTGGTATTGCCCAGCGCCGTATTTGCGCCGAATGCGAACGTCTATCCTTGTTTTGTTGACGGCCCCTGGAGCCTGAAGTGCGTCTTGCGAGCGTCTGCCGCTCCTTCGGTGGCATCTGGAGCCTGGGTTGTTTTGTCTGTCCTTCCCCTAGGCTTCGTGTGCCTGCGATGAGGCTGAGCCCCTTGTCAGGGCGTCGCAGTGTATCTGCGGGTCTTCCTACGGCAACAAATTCAGTGTTTCTGATTCGCGTTGAGTTTTAGACCCTCTTGTGGCCCAAACTTCGGCACATATGGGGCTCACCTCGGCTGTCGCTTCCCATGGGGGCGTCACCCGCCCAGCAGTTGAGAGCTGTGACTGGAGAACCGAGCCGAACGTTCCCCATTCCACCCCTGCGCGCCTCCTCCTCCTCCTCCTCCTCCCTCCTCCTCCTCCTCTTCTTCCTCCTCCTCCTCCAGTCCTTGTCGTTATAAATAACTTCTCCCTGTCGCACCCCGAGGCCAGTTTTAAGGGCGGGCCGGGCGTTTCGCCTGAGACTTCCTCACCATGTATGACTCTGAAGCTTAAACATTGGCAACAGTTTCACAGATGGAGGGCGGGTGGTTTTCAACATGCGGCTCTCGCCTTAGCGCGGCGCACATTCGTTTAAACAATTGCCAGAGCTTGACGGATTGAGGGCGGGTCGTTTTCTAAATGTGGCTCTCGCCTTAGCGCGGCGCACATTCGTTTTAAAACATTTGCAAGAGTTGCACGGTTTGAGGTCGTGTGGTTTTCAAAATGTGGCTCTCGCCTTAGCGCGGCGCACATTCGTCTGAAATAATTGAAGAGTTTCACGGATTGAGGGCGGTTCCTCTTCAAAATGTGGCTCTCGCCTCAGCGCCGCGCACATTCGTGTTAAACATTTGCAAGAGTTTCAATGATTCCCATCATCAACGTACCAGAAATGGTGTTTGGAAGGATTCAGGATTGTGCGGCGCAACAGTTACGTTGATTTTCTGTGTTGAGGTCCTAGGTATGGGTTTCTGGCACGATTCAGGATCGTCAAGACGCAAAAGTCAGGTTGATCCGTGGCGTTGGAATCCCGAGAAAAATATTTTGGCATGCTTCAGGGTCTTCAAACGAGTGTCTTCCAACGAGGCAGTTCCATCAATGGAGATGAACCGTTGTATGGGCCTATGAAGAGGGAGCTTGGAGGGAGGGTTTACTCCAATGTCGTTGATGACTCTTGGGTTTACGATGGTCCTCCTCCTCCTCCCCCTCCTCCTCCTTCTCCTACTCCTCTTCTTCCTCCTCCTCCTCCTCCTCATCCTACCTCCCACCTCCTACCTCCCTACCTCCTATCTCCTACCTCCTCCTCCTCCTTCTCCTCTTCCTCCTCCTAGCATCGTTTAACCGATCCCTATCCACATTGCCGTGGCCTGGGCCCCATTCGCCGATTTACACCCCTAGATGGGGATGTAGGCTGTTCCCTTCGGGTTTCCAAGGGCCTACCTCCAATTGAGGTAGTGAGATGGTGGGGCTGAGATACAATCGCCCGGTGGGGGATGGGGGATAGGTTAAACAATACTGATCCTCCTCCTCCTCCTCCTCCTCCTGCTCCCCCCCCCGTCGCAAGTGAGCCTCTTCGCTGGGCCACCGGAGGCGTTGCTGCCTGAGGACAGCAGGCGCTTCAACGTGAGGTTGCCCTGCACCGCCTGCGCCGCCGCGGGGGGTTGGGGGGGCGATGGACCCCTAGTCACACCCAAAAAAGTAGGCGGCGGCATCCGAACCCCTCCCCCACCAACTATCTATTCTCCTGAATCGATGAGACGCGGGGGAAGGTTCGGGTTTCGCCGCCGGAGAAGACGACACGCAAAAAATGATGACGAGATCTAGCCCACCCGAAGGGGTCGAAGTTCTGGGCAAAGAGCGCGACACGACGCGATGCCGACAAAAGACGACGCGAACGACACGACGAGGCGGGGACACCACGGGGGAAGGCGGAGAAGAAGGGAGGGATAAGGAGGAATATCGGCACTACCAGCAATGTGGAGAATGGGAGGTAGATGAGCAGGAACAGGAGGGAGAAATACTACTCGAGACGACCTTCAGCGACCAAATACATCAAATCAAAACGATAATAATAACATAATGAACCCGCCGCGACCTCAATGAAGAAAATCGGTTTAGTTGAACGTGCACACGCACAACACGACGGAACCGAACGCGATGCAATGCAAACCATGAAACATCAAACAAATGGATATCATAACACCCCCAACACATTATCGTATAGCATTGCGCAATGTATGGGATGCAAACTACGTGCTGCAATATATGTTGCGCAATGGATGCTCATGCCCGCAACAAGGCGGCGACGGGGGCCCACCGTGCAAAAATCTGGTGGAAATGCAGCCCAAAGCACGGGGCGGCGACGAGGCGGCAACGGGAGCCCATCGTGCGAAAACCCAGACATCCCAGCCAGCGTACGAGGCGGCGACGAGGCGGTGACGGGCACGCACCGCGCGAAAATCCGGATGACAACTCACCCACTTACGCAGAGGCGAAATCAGAACCACTTGGTGCAAGCACTGTTTGAGACAGAATACTTTTCGTTCTGGACCCACAACGACATGGGACTCACGGATATCTGAATCTGCAGACCAAGGCCTGGCCATCGCTCGGACGTCCATTTCCTGTGCTTTTTTCGGTTTCGTGCGTGGTTTTTCCGCCAAATGATCAAGGATGCTCCTCGATGGTCCTCGCCGAAGGAAAAAAGCACACGTCCGAGCGATGCCAAGAGGCCATGATTATACGGGGGAGGGGCTGCGCCTACTGCTATACTGGAGCGCAGGCACAGGCGTCTGGAGCTCAGGAGAAACATCACTCGGCCTGCGAGAAGCGGGGTTTCGCCCTGCGTCTCCCCCACCTACACCGTTGACGATTGCACCTCGTCGTCGCCATGGTCGCCGTTGCCGTCGTCGTCGCCGTAGCCAGCCGCCGCCATCGTCGACGGTGCAGCGAATGTCGTCATGCTGTCGCCGTCGCCTCCGCCTTCCTCGCCATCGTCATCGTCGCCGTCGACGCAGGCGGCGACGCCGACGACGGCGACGATGGGAACGACGACGACGACGACCACCACCACCACGACGGCGACGACGACGACGGCAGCGGCGGCGGTGCGCGGTGCTTTCGACTTGTTGTTTCTGCGCACAGAAACACGCCTCAATTCAAAGCTGGGTTCAATGCCTGCCTGACTAGACGCGCAAGTAACTGACTTTGAGTTTAGTTCGCTCGCCGTCCTCGTTGGCGACGACGGACGAGTGCCAAGAAAACGAAAAGGTTGCCGAGACCAGCGCCGTTCGTCGACGTCGTCGTAGCAAACGCGATCGCCCATCGTCGTCGTAGCCGTCCGCGTGGTCGTCAGGGGTGCAATTTCCTCCGCCACCAAGCCCAAGGCTTTGTTTTCTTTCAAGGGCCCAGTGGCTGCTATTACGTTCTTATGTGTGTGTGCCCGAAAGTCAGTTGGATTCTATGTATCCGTCGTTCGGATCAAATATGTAATGCGAGAATTTCGTGGATCCCCTGTCTCATAACAGCAAACATGCTGGATCCACGGGGCTTGGGATGCACGGAAATCCGAATATGTACATCAACGTCGTGATTCTACGAGGGAGGTTTCCCGACTGCAAGCGAGGTACAGGCAGCTGGAGCTCAGGAGGAAGTCGTTCGGCCTTCGAAAGTAGCGTCGCGACCCGTTGCAGAGCGTAGCATGGCATGGCATCGCGCGCTACTGCGCTGCATTGGAACAATCTCAGTGCTTACTGGCGTTTGCTGATTTCAGAACTCTACACGTTACGCCTGTTGCCTATTCTACTGGCATTAGGCACATGCCCCCCGTAGAAAACGAGAGGGTGCTGACGAGTTGCAATTACGGCGTTTGTTCTGGATGTTGGAATCCTGGTGAACGCCGAATGGCTTGTAGTTGAGGAGTCTCTCAGCAACTGGTTCGATGACCGCAGCCTCCGTGTCTAACCATCCCTCAGGTCCTGCAGTTCCTCCTGTGCCATGTGCAGCTGCAGCTTCTCCTCGCCGTCGCCGGTGGTAAAAGTCCATCGTTCTCTTCTGCAGTCTCACTGCTCGCGGTTGCTGCAAGCCCGTATCGTGGGACGCACATGGACATACTAATACTATATGTCCTCCTTGGAGGCGCGCGTCCGACCCGAACATATAGTATACCCATCTTGTAGTATATCGTTTCCCGAGCGGTGTGGCCAGAAAGCGCCCGCCACGACGCATATACTATAAGATTTCTCGGTGCGCGCGTCGCCCCTGGGGGGGCGACGCACACATAGTATAAGTATGTTGGGGTGCTGCCGATATCGCGTGCGAAGACCGATATCTAGACATGCCAAACTCATGTGAGATGACGAGCCAGGGGCGGCCGAGCTCCGCACGTGGACGTGAAGGGCGATCCCTCCTCTTCGTCCCCATCCCCCTCCCCATCCACCCTCCTCCACGTCCCCTTCATCATCCCCCATGTCCCCTCCTCCCCATCCCTCCTCCCCATCCCTCCTCCCCATCCCTCCTCCCCATCCCTCCTCTTCATCTCCCTCCTCCATTTCCCCTCCTCCTCTCCTCCCGCCTCCTGCTCCTCCTCCTCCTTCCCCTCCCCTCCCCTCCCCCCGTCTCCCCTCTCCTCGCCCCGCCTTCCCCCCCGCCTCCCCTCCCCTTCTTCCTTCTCTCCGCCGTGAGCCCTGCGGCGTCAGCTCACGCCGGCGAGGACGCGAGGGGCAGGCATCTAATGTCTCAATCTTGGAACGCACATCCCCATGTGGACGCGGGAGCGCATGCTCCGTGACGAAAGAGGGGGACGAGAGTAGGGCGGAGGAGCGACGGTGGCGACAGAAGAATAAGCAGACAGGGAGTGGCAGGACGAAGTGGACACACAATAATCACAACAAGCGAATGCATGAAGTATGTAAAGAGATGTGGAGAGAAAGGCAGAAGCGACAAAACAATGAGCGGCATGCACAAGAAATGCGAAGTGAAACAAACATAGGGTCATACAACGAAATATATATACACATACCCATATGTACATACGTTACGAGAGACATGTATACATATACATGTATAGAGAAAGAGAGAAAGAGAGAGAGAGAGAGAAACAACACACAACAATGATATGCTACATACAAATAGGGAGATATTGCATATCCATGTATATATGTATTTATAGTTATAGAGGGGCTAGATAAAGATATATATATATATATATATATTCAAGAGAGAGGGAGAGAGATACAGGCGCGTGCATCCGAACAAGTATTACTCGTGTGCTGTTTGGGATCAGCGCGCCTGAGCCAAACTAAGCTAAACAACGTCACGCCAAGCTAAGCTGACCTGGCGAGGCTTAGTAACGCGGGGACCCTGCCAGCAGGACGGGTAAGAGACGGTTCAAAAGAAAAGTCAACGATTCCCAAGGCTCCCCCCTGCGTCACCCCATTCTCTTACGTTGCCATACAGTATCCACGTCCTGGTTGGGGAATATTAGCCCCATTCCCTTTCGAGAGACGAGGCAAAGCCTGCGTGTGCGGAACATCCCTGTCTCTTAGGATCGACTAACCCACGTCCAACTGCTGTTCACGTGGAACCCTTCTCCACTTCGGTCTTCAAAGTTCTCATTTGAATATTTGCTACTACCACCAAGATATGCACCACCCAGAGCGTCTCCGCACACAGGGTCCTGCCTCTATATACATAGTTTCTCCGAGCTGGGTTTCCTCTGTCGTCGCCCCAGGGGGGGCTGTTTACAGGGGCCAGTCCTTGGTTGCCCTGCGCGTTGCAAGGGTATGTGCAGCGCACGGTTTTGTGCACAATTCGCTTGGTAGCGTTGCTTAGGTTACGCACAGGATGCGCGATCGCCATGGCTGCGACCAACGAAGTTCGGGTGGTCATCCGCGGGACTTACCCATAAGGTCCCGTCTTCAGTCGTGCCTGGCCGTCACCTAGACGATCTTCGCCCAAAGGGTTCCGCCTGGATTAGCCCTGGGAGCCAGCTCCCAAGGCTAGGGCGACGAGATCTACACGTATCCGCTCCTCCTGGCCAGGGCCATCCTGGGGCCCGGGAGCGGTGCACACGCCCTCCTGGCTCGGCGAGGGTTGCGTACGCACCGCTCCTGAGCCCAGGCTGGGCCTGGCCGGGAGCAGTGGATAGTCGACCTCGTTGCCCTAAGAGGCGAGAACAGCGGGGGGCGGGGGCCCCCGTGGGCAGGATCCCGCGGGCGACGGCGGCCCGACTCCGCCGGGCAGGGGAGCGAAGGGCCAGAGCCTACAGGCCACGGCGGACAGCCCAACGGGAGAGGCAGACATGTAAGGGAGCATCTGGGCGAAGACGAGGAGTTGGCGGCGGGCACAGGGGGGTAGGGGTAGGGGGGACGGCTCCTTAGAAACACCCCTGCTCCTTAGAAGGCGCGGGCCTTGTCTGTAGATGTAAGGCTGGCGCCGTCTAAGAAGCAGTCTCCTTCTAAGAAGCCTTCCCCCTACCAGTACCCCCTTCTGAGCGCCTCCAAAGGAATTTAACAAGCAAGGCAACTCCGGGCGGGACCTCATGGCGGGGCTCGCTGGGAGACGGCCCCAAATTCTAACAAACCGAACGAGCATGCAAGGGCGGGGCCGTACAGGCGACGGTAAGGCAGTCCACTATATAGAT